TTCTTTTACGTATTTCTTTTAGTTATTTGAACTCTATACATTTAAATAACATGTTAATATTGTTACTTCTGAATTTTCGGTTTTAATCATTATCTACTGACTTCCTACTTTGGAAGGCATATTTTGTCATGTTTTATCCATGTCATATCATATATGCATAGCTGTACTCTCTCCTATCATTTAAATATGGTTTTGTTTTATTTCAGGATAAATGAATATTCAGATGTATTTTTAAAATAATTATTCATCTTATATTATTATCACCATGTAAATATTACCAACTGAGCTATATATTATACTAAGTTTATCTTACCTTCCTTCCACGATTCTTTCCTGGGGTTAAAATTTTATTTTTATTGTAAGCTTAGTTTTCTAGTAAATTATTTCTCAAGCTCTCAATTGGATGAAGCTTCTAGCATAAATTAGCAGAGCTGTCTATTTCATATCTATGAATCTAAAACAGTCCTTCAGAAATTTAACCAAACACTTCAGTGTCGCCTATAACCTACCTAGCAAAGCCAATGTCATATTCCTAAATGTTTCTATCTCTGAAATCCCAAATGACCTTGAATGGCAAAGCTGGTTAAGTAAAAGGACTTTAAAAATCCTGTTGAGGGAATTGCACAGGCAATTCTGAACATCCCTGCCCAAAAATTGATTTCTAAAATTTATAAAACATCCATGAAATAAAATACTAAGGTAATCATTAAATGTTAGTTTAGAAAACAGTTAAGGAAAAATATTCAAAATATTTAAAGAAAAAAAAATCAGTTTATAAAACAATATCATTAAAGTGAAACAAACATCAATAGATAAAACTCTTAATATTTCAAATCTGAGGTTTTTAAATTAACTTTAAATTATAATTAAGTCTCTCAATTTGCCACCTCTGTCTTAATTACATATACTTGGAAGATTTTCCAAACCAGAAGGGGACTGCTGGGATTTCACCTTTCTCCATACATCCATGAAGGTATTATAAAATCCATGAGAGCACTGAATTCCTCCTTTAAACCAAGAATTAAAGGTCTTGATTTCTTTTAAATTTTCAATTGGTGTTATCCTATTATTCAGGAATAAAACCATACACAAAAACATATATGCTCATAGAAACAATTTGGAAAAATATGCTCTAAATATTTATTGTAATTAACTATTTCTGGGTATGGAGACCACAGATAATTTTAATTTTCTTTTTTATAGGTTCTTTAGTTACTAAATTTTTCACAAGCCTGCATTAACTCTATCATCGGAAATATTTTTTAAAAAACTATTACCATTAAAAAATTTTTTAATGAGTTGGGAGGATGGGGTACCTTATAGTCATTAAGAAAATTATGTTTAAATAGGCCCAAATAAGTGGTGACAACAGGGAAATCAGTTGTGACTGGAAAAAATATTTCCTACAAATTCCTGAATATTGTATCTCACCAACACCTTCAGATCCTTCTGTGAAGGATTACAATGCTGGTTCATGGCATTTCCAAAGTGATTAGGAGACACTATGCATAGCAGACAAAAAGAAATGCTTATTTCACAGCAGCTACTCAATCATTTGAGCTTACCCTTCCTGGGCACCAATAATTAACCAATTATTAAATCCGCAAGTCTATGGCCATGCCACCCTGAACAAGCCCGATCTGGTCTAATCTCAGAAGCTAAGCAAGAGTTGGGCCTGGTTAGTACTTGGATGGGAGATCACCTACGAAGATCAGGTGCTGTAGGTGTAAAAATAAATAAAAAATAAAAAATAAAAGATTGTAAGCTGACAAGGTCCTTGCAATCTGTAAGGTCAACCAAGGGTAGCCTCGCCTAAAAAAAATAAAATAAAATAAATCCTCAAGATACATATGTAACTTCATAATTTCTTAAAAATTTTTATCCACAACAATGTAATAATAAATATTACATTGTATATCTTTTTCTTATGACTTTATAAACATAATTTTTATTATCACATAACATTCCATCCCACGTAGTGTGACTTACTTAACCATTTTCATACTACTAGATACTAATTTTGTAAAAGATTATCCCAAGTCATTCCCAGTTATTTCAGACTTTGATTCTAAACCAGTGAGAATCAATCTTGTTGGGTCTTATAGAATTTTAACAGTATCATGAAATGACAGACTTTTTCCCTTGCAAATTACCCATTGACAAATATATACGATGATTCCGTATATAACCTTAAGACATTACCTATATAGAGAGCCCAAAGACTTTCTGTTAAGAATTCCTATTCTGGTCCACTTGAGCAACTGATTCATTTTCCTGCTTGGAAATATCCATCACAATTCATATTCATTACTCTTCAGACTACAGAAAGCTGATAGGGAATGACTAAGAATCATCATTTAATAGCAAGAGCTAACATTAATGTGCCAGGTACTCCTCTAAGGGCTTTACAGATGTTAAATTCAGGTAATCTTTAAAACAATTCTGTGAGGTATACACACTACAGTCATACATAATGACATTTCAGTCAACGGACTGTATATACAATGGTGTTCCTACAGATTATAATGGAGCTGAAAAATTCCTATAACCTAGTGACATTATAATATCACATTGCAACGCATTACATAAATACTTACCATTGTGTTACAATTGCCTACAGTATTCAGTACAGTTCTGTAGCCTAAGAGCTGTAGGAGAACAGAATACGTCACACCAAAATACATCTATCTGGCATAAGGATTATTTTAGGCTGGTTAATTTTAAGAAACAGCAGACACAAGAAGCTCTGAAAACCAAACAGAAGTTATCCTTTGTAAAAAAATTCATAAATTATATGTTAAATCTCTATTTGTAAAGGTGTTATCTCTAGAATCCCATGTATCAATGTAGAAAACAAAGACTTAAATCTGCATAACTTTACCCTTGTTTACTGTGTTTTTCCTTATAATCGCCCATACGTGACTCCCCCAACATCTTTTGACTTTTGCTGAAGATAGTATTTAAGGTTGTGGCTTTAGCCATTTTAACAAGTTACTCAGTTTTCCTGTATCTGTCCATTACACAGGATGTATATATGTCATTAAACTTGTTTTTCTCCTGTTATCTGTCTTTTATTACAGGGATATCTCAGCCAAAAACCCAGAAGGGTAGAGGAAAAAAATTTTTTTTCCTACCCTACAAAGGAACAGGCTGTACCATATAGCTGAGGTGTGCATTAGGCTATATCATAGTTTTGTGTTAAGCGCACTCTGTGAAGTTCGCACGCTAAAATCACCTAAAGGACCATGACTCTGCATTATAATTTTGATTTCACAGATGAATAAACTGCGACACAGAATGATTACCCAAACTCACTCAGGTTTAAGTGACTATCAGGATTCAAACCTTAATCTAGGTTCAAAATTCTCAACCACTACATTCCATTCCACAATGCATACATACCACAAAACATCATGTTTTACACCCTGAATATATATCATTCTCTTATTTGTGGAAAATAAACAGTGTGGGTTCTACTTAAAGTAACCTCACAGGGTCAGGTGAGGTATTCTAATCTTCCTATCTGGGCAAGTCATGATGGGTAATCACGCCCCAGGCATATAACTTCTTTAGTAGAATGCTTACCTTTGCCGTAAGGGAGCCCTGTCCATTGGTCTGCCTTTCAGTGAACACACCTTTGACATCTCTCTCAAGGGAGCACATAATCTTGTTCACATCCTGTAATCCAAGCCCCACCTTGCTTTCTCCCACTTCCATATAATCTTCCTAAAATTCCCTCCTTAATTTCAAAGGTATAAAAACTGCTGCAAAACTATTATTCTGTGGAACATCTGAGAACTTGCTCCGCAGCATGTGGTTAGTTTGGCTCAAATAAACTCAATTTTTATAAACTTCTCTACAGCAGTGGTCTCCAATCTTTTTGGCACCAGTTAATGTAGGGA